ATGTTAAGCATTCCCTCATTCATTCATATGGAAAATATCATGCTTGAACACTGTATGAACACCGTAAGTCCAACTGGTTATAAAAGCCCAAGCAACCTATTCAGATACAAGCTCTACGATCCTGCAAAGTTTTGTTGTTCGAGCTTGAAAGCAGCTGAAGGAGTAGCTTTGAAAACTTTTGACCAAATAATAAGAAAACGAAGAACAGTAAGTTGGCTTTTTCTTAATAAAAGCACACAGAAATCCCATTAGAAACACAGAACACTATGACACAATACAACAATGGTCCAAAACTAGTCAAAGAAACACAAATACACACAACAACACAAAGGCAACATTCTTCTTCCTAAAGACTAAATATTAGATCTGTTATGGAGAGCTGTACAAGCCTGATCCCAAACCCCACAGTGGAGGAGTCGGACTAATACGAGCGGAGCATGAGCCGGCACTTTTCATTGAAGCTGCCGCACCTGGAGGTTGAATTTGATTTTGCTGTTGTAGCCCAGTCCAGTTACAGTAAATTAAAAAGGTGAATCAATATTACGGAACAGCGCAACATTACAGTTTCCTCTCCTCGCGAACTGTTGACAGCAGCCTTGAGGCACTGGGGCTTTTTTCCTGCTAGCGGAGAACGACTTATCACATCAGTCCCTCTAGATTTTACCCACAGTTTTTCATTAGAAGGCTGCAAGAATAATCTTTTCTTTAGGGCAGCTGTGGCTCATGAGTCAAGAGGAGCAAAGACGTAGGGCAGGACAACATCCTCAGCATTTCTGCACAGTTAGTCTAACAAACACACACTGACTCACATATGCGCACAGAGCCTCAAGTGTCACTGCACTGCAGAGCTTCTTAATAATTGAACGCCATTATTCTGCTTGTTTAAGAAGCTCGAGATGCCACCCGAACCTGTCAGTCCCCCGCCTGGGCAGGAATACAAATATGAATATGAATGTGAGTTTGCGTGTGAGTTTATATGCGTGTGTGCAGCTCGAGTTCAAAGCCGTCAGCACTCCTGCAAACTAATTAATCGACCTTTGAAAGACAGGATCCCCCCCTTCTCTCTCTCACTTCACTAAAAGGCCTCTCGCTCACAAAGAAAACCATTTGCACACACACATACTTAAGCAGTAGCAAGGGCAAGGTGCTAATAGCTAAACCTAATTAACAACTGAGGACAATGTGGACAACAGTTAAATGCTCTTAATTACTGTCTCATTTCGGGGACCTTAAAGAACATTTACTCACAAAGGGAATCCCACACTCCTAATCTCTGGGACATGCTCTTATACATAAAGGAATCATTCTGCAAAAAATAAAATGTGCCCATGTTTCTCCTTAATGCAAATATATTCTCTTTTCCACTGGTGCCACAAGGCGAACGTAGCTAAAGAGTAATGTATATTATATTGGCTATAAACATGAATTTGCTTTTCCTACTTTTAAAAAAAATCGTACTTTTTAAAGCTAAAAACAGCAGCAGCCTGAATTTTGTCCACACTTTTGTTAATGTTTTCTAAACAATATAACAAATTACAGATATAAGCCGTGTCCCAATTCAGAGGCTGCATTTGAAGGCCGACTGCGTCACAGCAGTGTGACTAGGCTGTCCCATTTCGAAGTCTCTTTCATGTGTGGCAGAGAAATGTGTCCTTCTTTTCCATGGTAACAAGGAATCCAACAGGTGCATCCTTCGCTAGCCAACATATCTCGAAGTTCATTGCGTGCCGGCGAGGATTCGAGAACATGGTGGTGTCAGCAGAGGAGCAAACGGTGGCTGAGGAGCTCACTCTTAAATATAAGTGTCAGGTTTAAACTGACTGCTAACGATACAAATGTTAAAAAAGCCAAAGTGGTCTGAAGCAAAACTTACGCTAACGTGCCGTTCTGTTTTAGGGAGCAAGGAGCCGACAGAGAGAAGCAGCTCCCGCTCTAATAAATGAAAAAATAAAAAAACTAAGATCAAAGTTTCTGGCTCTTTAAAGAACTTTAAAAGAACTTGACAGGAGTGGTGTTTCGTGACGCGACAGTAAGGGTGGAAATAAGGTGTTGTGACGCAAACAGGAAATCCGCCGTAGAGCAGACCGTCTCATTTCGGTTCAGCCTTCGCAGGTCTATGTAGCCTTCAAAAGACACGCTTTCGTAGGTTGCGTCCTTCGGAGATTGCAGCCCCTGAATTGGGACACAATTACAGGCTTCCATCACTAAGCTTGGCTACATTAGCATTGTAGTTCCAGTCTGAAATTAAAGAAGCAAACTCCACCAATCATATCTTGGCTTCCCTGCTGAAAAACATCTTGTCCAGCTTAAGCTAGTTCAGCTAGGTAACCTGGTTGACCAGCATAGGGTTTGTTTTCATTCAAGTTTCATGGTTCAGCTCATCAATCAGCATGACCAAGCCGTTGACCAACATGACCAAGCAGGTCAACCACCACAGCCAGCATGCCCAAGCTAGTCAACTAGCATGCCCAAGCTTGTTGACCAGCTTGCTCAATTTGGTTATGCTGGCAGACCAGCTGAATCATTAAACTCAAACGAAAACATACCCTCCAACTTAACCAGCATAGAGTAAGTTTTGCTTAGTCCAGCTAGATGTCCAGCTTCACAACCACCTGGACCATTAAGGACCCAGCTAGACCATCTGAAACCAGCCACCAACAAAAGCTGGACTTTTCATCAGGGGTCTGACACTGTATACACTGTTATCTATGCAAATGGACAAAAGAACATGCAGAATTTAGGCTTTAGGTGGCTAAACTACCGTTTTAGCTAGTTAGTCATTTTATAGTCAGAAATCACACACTCGACATCACTTAACATCTTGTGGTAAGTGTGTGAAGGTGTAGGCGTGCAGACTGCACAATGCTAACTAACAGGAAATGAGCTTCTATCACTTGTTAGCTACATTATCATTGTAAATCCACTGCAAAGAACTACATTTAAAGTATGGAGGTAAATTGTCTAAAAGACTAAAGGTCTTTTCTTGAAATAAGTTTTTTCTTTTTTTCCCACTCTGCAAGTCACAGATCCGCTGCACTGCAATTTTTGCATTTGCCTGATTCAGGTTTTGTAATTAGCAGAGCAGTAACAATGTGAGTGTGTGCCATGCAGGGGATCCCAAGGACACAAGCGGAGTTCAAAACCCTTCTGACATAATGCTGAGCTACACCTACACTTGCTAGGATTCCAGCAATGCAGAAGGCTCACAAACCCAGATACTATGTATGTGTGTGTGTGTGTGTGTGTGTGTGCGCACAAGGACCCAGCTGCTGCTCCTTCATGCAGAAAATGTGTGTGTGACTCGGGGAGGCAGGCAGAACCGAGACCTGCTCCTCTCATGTGGAAACAACGCTGCCCTAACTCAGGTGCACCCTCACACCTTCACACTGTCATAGCTGCCAACTCCCCACACACACACAACCCAGAAAAACGTGCTTTAAAAGCCCAAAGGCACCACTGCTCACCAGCACCACAAACCATCTCTAACAGAAACTTACTTCAACACTTGAACTTCAACACTTACTGTTGGTGTACATTTAGACACCACAGCTCATCTTTTCCATTCACTGTTTTTTGTTAGTCATCCTCTAGCCCTTCATCAGTGGTCAGTTTCTGGCCAGAGGACTACTGTTGGCTGGATACATAACACAGCAGTGACACTAAGTTGTGTAGAAATCCCAGCAAAATATCCCAGCAAAGCATTTCTTCCACCAGACAGTGTGGTATGGTTACTAAACCAAACCCAGAACTATCCATATGCTAGCTAAGTACCAGTGTCAGTTTCCCACCGCATTGTCTTGCACGCCAGACAGTCAGATGCATTTCATCTATTTAACATGGGCAGGAACCGCCTACTATGACAAAAAAGGGCCTTTTGACTGACATGCAAAATAACCAGCCAGAGACTGTTGTTGTAGTGTGACCTGTGGGGGCAGATGATTTTAAAAACAGGGCACAGGAAAAACCTGTGGGAAACACATCAGTATGTATCGGTAAACATATCTTGCTTAAAAGCTACTAAATGCTTCAAAGAAAGATCTTCAATAGCTTTCGGAAGGCAGGATGCTATAAACTTCACAGATGCTTTTTTTTTAATCCAGCAACTATATCTTGCTCTGAAAGGCTCAGTCAGAGAATGCAGAGTGGGTTGCAAAGTTATTTTCCCATCAGACAGACAAAACCTGCTGCACATAAGTTTGGGTAGCAAATAAGAATGAAACAGACAAAATCCAGTTAGTTGTGGCCCATAAAAGGTATCAGATATCTAAGGCTGAGCCCACCCATCGCATAACAGATGTGCAAGTAGGTGGCATTCTCTGGAGGTTGTGCAGTGGTCACAGTTTCTCAGGCTATGGTAAAGTTAACAGCAACGACAAACAACTGTAGCAACTATGGAGGAGATCCAGGTTCTGATTTATCTTTTCCTCAGCATTTGGTTTTATGAGTAGAGTCACAGCGATTCAGGCTAATGCCTTTGAGAAATGGTTGTTCTTTGAGTCAAGTGACAATCCCTGATGGTTCTATGACGCTTGCATTTGACCAATTAATGCTGTGCAATACTTCTGGTTCCACCTATATATTCTGGTTTTGTATGCTTGGTACCACAACAAGAAGGGTAACCATACTCAGCACAGGTACTCGGGAACACTGGGCAGTGGAAATAACAACAATCACAGATTTGTAACTGTACCATACTGTGCTATAAAATGCCACAACAAGCCACTATCATGTCAGTATCACTGCCGTTTTGAGAATGAATATATATAATCTATCAACATCTAGTAGGTGATGGTCTTACTGTGGTGCCTTTAATTCATGGAGACGTAGATGGGGACTAATAAATTGTGCCGCAAGCACATATATATTGTAGGTGTTTCTGGTTAAATGGCTAATGAGTGTACCTAACAAACTCAGTGTATATTGGAAAAGGAAAAATACTATGAAAATGTTAAGAAGTCTTGCACTCACAAACATGCATACTCAGATCCTCGACTCCTTACCTTATGCTGCTCATGCTGCCGCCAGTCTCAGATCCCAGTTTGCATCGCTCTAGCTGGGTGGCAACTATTTGACGCTCAGCCTCCAGCTCTCGAGTCAGTCTTTCAAACTGCAACTCCTGAGAGAGGGAGAGAGAGAGAGAGAGAGATGCTTAGAGGTATCAACATGCAAACTAGTGACAGTGAGGAACATTAGAAAAGCATCAAAGAGCTCTGGGATCAGCTTCTCCGCACAGCATTAGACAACAGTATGCTATTTAAATGCGACTGTGATTCGCAAATGGTTGGAAAAAAATTGGACATGACTGAATTTCTTATTGAATGGCGGCATATCATCATTAATGCATAAATCCTTAGAACATATAGAACTACAGATAACCACAAACTCATATATAAGCCGGCCACAAGCGGCCATTTCAGCCCGCTTTAAAGCAGCTATTGTTTTCTGCATTGCCATTAAAATGACTTATATGCGGATGTGTTATTTTGATTTGATAAGTGTCCTGCTCCGGTGAGAGGGGTCCTCAGCGTTTGCCCGAGTGAAACCGCACATGCGTCTGTCGTAAATCAGACAGGCGGATCTCTGAGCAGCCCTCAGCGGTGATAATCACCGTAGATGTCCCTGCTGGGACCAAAAGTGCATCATCAGCACCAGTAATAGCCCATTCTGCGACAGGATGGCAGAGATGATCGCTCAGCCTCCTGCTTCCAACCTGCCTCCTCCAGGCACTCAGCCACAAGCGCCCGTCCCCAGCTGAGCCCTGCCCCAAGTCATGCACGGTGTTAGGAGAGCACCCCCTGCTGACATGCTCCAAGCTTTCGAGGAACTTTTCATCAAACCGCCAGAGTCTGTCAGTGTGAAAATGGGTGTTTTGTGGGCTCACTCTTTCACTCACTCACTCACTCACTTTAGCAGTCTGAAGACTCTCCACAAGGGGGAGGTATTAGCACTAAAACAGCTTTTGGTTGCATCATTAAAAGGGCAATATCCTGGACAGCCAGCAACAATTCTAGACCCTGACTTCATTATATATGGCATTTAAACCCTTGTAGAAAAATATATGACATTACATTCAAAGGAATGAAATTAGAATAACTCAGCTGTGTAAATCTTATGTAGAGGTTGACCACAATGCTAGTTATGTGAATGATATACTAATAAAAGATGGAGGGTGCAAGTATATATGAAGTAAAACGTACCCAATGTAAGTACCCTATCTAAGCAAGCAAGCAAAGTTTATTTATATAGCACTTTTTATAACAGGTGTTGTCACAAAGCAGCTTTACAGAAAAATCAGCATTACAGAAAGAAATGCAGGTCCAAACCCCCATGAGCGTCGCCAGTGGCAACAGTGGCAAGGAAAAACTCCCTAAGAGCAGGAGGAAGAAACCTTGAGAGGAAGCAAGACTCAGAAGGGGAACCCATTCTCCTCTGGTTGACACCGGATAGCAAAACATTGTTAGTATAAGGTATTGTAAGAATGTATACCCTAAAAATAATTTAAGGTTCACAACTAGACCCTAAGACCATTGTTGTATCTTCGAAGGTACATTTACAATGATTGTACCTTGATGAACAAAGATGTACCTCTACAGTACCCTTTTTTCTGATAATGCAGGCACCATGGGTGCTGTGGAACAGCGGTGTTTTGCATCAATGACATTACATGTCCTTGCTTCAAAGTAAGGCGAAGCCTCTGCGGGACATCCCAGAGTGGCCACTTCAGCTCCTTTATCTCTGTTTCTCTCAAACACAGGCCCAATGCAGCCAAAATGAGAGAATCAGAGTTTCAATCAAAGGCTCCTCTGCTGTTCGTTAGGCTCGTACCTGCTTTAATTACCGCCAGACTGAGAGGGATCGATGGCAGCCCGATCCACCCGGCCACGCTCAGGATGGCACAATGGGAGGGTTTATTGATCCAGCCTTCGAAGCCATTTGAGCTTCGAATGAGCTGATGGTATCTTCCCTCCAAAACACCTCGCTATCTGCCATTCAATCCCAAATTCCCACCTGCCTCAGTTGCTGCCCACAAACTGGGCACCACCAAATGCACTGGTGAGCTACAAACCCCCTCTATCCCCTCTCACTCTCTCTCTCTACTCCTCCTCCCCTCTCTCTCGCCCCCTTCCTCATGGATTTGCTTACATGTGTGTGGTTCCCAACTTTCAGTGAGGAAACAGATCAATCCCCGCTTTGTACTTACATGATGGTGAAAGACATATTGCCTTCAGTGGTCGTATTATGTCTTGCTAGGCCTCCAAGTGAAAATCGATGAGGAACAAAACAGCTCCAAACAGACGGGAGGAGAAAAAAAAAACACCTCTGTTCTTTCACTATACACAAACCTCCTGTCAGAGCAACCCGAAAAAAGTTGGACGTCTGAACAAGGCGCACTTCACTTCTTCCAAAAACAAAAGTCATTCAAAGCTTCACAGAGTGCTCCGCTCATATACAACACACGTACGAGTGCATGAGGGAATAGACTAAAGTTGGCTGACTGGAAACCTGCCACACTCTCAGAGTCCAGCTAGAGAATAGAGAGAGACACCTGTCCCCTTCCGCTGGCCCGGTAGAGAAAGATGAAAGCGGCTTTACCTGCGCATGGACCATGCTCCAGCTGAGCCCCACGGATGGAGAAGTCCAGCTCCAGCTGCTCTGCTAGCCCGCTGCCTATTAGACGAATTCCAGCACTCGTTAGAGCCGGAGCCAGTCACTGCCTCTCAGCCACACACACAAGAGCCGCTCAGCCAGGCACAAAGGTCGCCATGGCAACAGAGAATCCAGCCCCCGAACCCCCCCCCCATCCTGGGGCACTGAGCATGCAACGTTTCATCACAAAAGTGGCTCCTCCCACCTGTCCTGCAGACACAAAACCCACCCATAGAAAATTGCTCTAGTACTGTTGCTAGGTGACTAGCCTAATTAAGTCCCTCCCGCTTCCTACTTGACATGGGCAGATTCAAGCAATTAACACACCTGTATTCAGCCGACTCTCTTCAACAGTTTGCTTGGTTTTCTGGGTCAGTTGGTGGGACTTCTTTTGGTGATGGCTTTCTGACTACTTTACTTAAGAATGAGTTTGTGAATTATTGCAGACTGTTTGCTTAGTTGAGTTTGTCAGCTTGTCAGTTTTCATTGTTTGGATTTATTTGGAAATATTCATACAGAGATTTAATTCAATAGTTAAAATGTACAACCTGTTTGCATCTGCCTTTGTTTCCATTCCATTTAAAAGTAGGCTGTGCATAGACATTTTGGGGGCTCAAGGGAAAAAGGGCAACACGAACATGAAATAAACATATATATATATATATATATATATATATATATACTGTATATTACAATCACTCTTACCAAGAGAGACACTGTCATCATGCTGCAGATAAAATTAAATGTACTGTTAAGAGTTTTTTTATCCAAAGGCAGCCAAATACATTCCTATCTATTAGGGGATTTACCCCCAGCTGTCAAAATGTAAAGCCATGGCCTTACTCACCGCATGATTTCATCACTGTAGAACTTAGTTCAAACTTATGTAAGACGTCCATCTCTGTTTTTTATAATAATGAAAACTTGGTGTAGCTTTTAACACTCATTACTGCCATCATTATATTTGGTGGAATGTGCCATTTTCTTAAAGAGATGATCAGTGTTTTATTGGTGGGATTGCGGGTTGTAGTGATGCGCTGCAGTTCGGTAATACTGAGCAGAATCTTGCCAGGTCGGTACTGTGCCAGAGGGGGAGCTCAGGAGCGTAGAACTAAGCCAGCCCATGATCTCCTTTCCCGTTGGGCTGAGCTGAGCTAAAGCAGATCTTGAAGAATGGCAGAGGTGATATAAAATAGAAGCTTTTATACACACCAACCAAAATAGCAATTGTACATGCTGAGGGAAAAGGACCAGGGTCTCAACCCCCCCACGAGGTCTATCTGTGCCATTTGAGAGCCTAGAACTTCACCAGTGTTAGTATCCTTTGGAACTAAGACTGGGCATTATGATGACCAACAGCCTGAAATAGGGTCAGATTTAGACCAGTAATATATATCAGTGGATAGTGACTAAATAAACTGCCATTATCTTCTTTTATTTATTTATCGGTGCCACTTATTTTATTTTTATTTTTATTCTCTTCTTTTCTTCTTCTTAAAATTATTTTTCCAAGCATTGAATTCAATTTTCTATGACGCAATACTGCTTTGCCTGTTCCAACAATAGAAACCTGAATATTGTAATATTGAAATTTTGGTCTGAACCTGAATACAGTCCGAGAAATTTCTGATAGAGTCCAAACCAACCAGAGGCTGGAAAATGTGGTCCAAACCCGTCCTGATGCAAACAACTTTATGAAGATTTTGGACAGAAAATGACCCAAACACATCAAACTTCTGTCTAAAACTGACCCAAACTGGCCCATCATCACTTTAAATAAAAGTCCTTAATAAAAGCTGACATTTCTAATGATAGCCTAGTTAAATCAGTATGTTGAAACAATAACAGCCATCATTAGATCATGGATAAATAAAGTTAAAAATGATATAAAATTCACCCGAGCCCCAAATATATGTGGGAAATGACATACAAGTACAACCAAACCCATCAGGTTCAGATATCTGCAGCTTTACTCATTGTGATACGTTTTGTGATACAGTCTTCAAGCATTGTTCTGTTAAATCTTGGCCATATTATGCACACTTATTGGAAACCCTACGTTGTACACTGCCTCTCTTCCTCTCCAACTCTTCTCCTGCATGTTCCCATGATCCTATTGGCCAACGCTTTCGTGCCTCCTGCCCAAAAGAGCCTGATAGGAGAGGGGGCGGGGGAAAGTAGGCGGCCCCTCATTGAAAACGGCACAGAATGGTTGTCAATCGCAAACGCAGTCGGGGGCGAAACAGCAAATGTGTTGCTATCTCTCTGTCTTCCCTCTCTCTCACTCTCTTTCTCTCACCTCCTGTCTCAGCCAGACTGAAATCTCCATCTTGGAGGAACTTTTGCTGCCTGCTCGGCCCGCCTCCAAGCCTATGAGGCAGCATGCGCACACAAACACACACACAAACACACACACAAACACAAAAAGGCTGCAGAAAAACATTTATCTAATGAATATTTTTAAAAAAT